TCTCATCCTCCTCGGCCTGCGACGATGCCCACAAACACAAAGCTACACCATCTTCTGGAACATCTGAAGCTTCGCATACAACCTTCCGTCCCATTTTCGCAACCTCATTGATGACAACCACTCTAAGGGCGTGCTCAAAAGAGTTGTTGCGAGGAACACCAGCACATAGACCAGCAACGCGCCCTGTAGCCGCCCCCCACAACATCAACGCCATCACGCCTTTGTTTGCCCCGAGCACATTCAACTGGTTCATCCGGAGCACGTCAATATCCAGGACCATTGTACCATTGTTCTCAAAGGCCTTGAACATTTTGTCTGTTGGGGACCGCTTGCCGCTGTAGAACTTAACAATCCAGTCCTTGTGCATCATTCTTTTTCTCATCCTGCGGTTGAATCCCAAGCTCAGCATGAGGTCCCATGCTTCCTTTTCCGACTTGGGGAGGTCTGGGATCGCCTTAATCAAGTCCTCGTTCATGACATCTGTTGCCCACGGCATAGACGATAATGCCCGGAACCCATCCTCGAAGCTTCCCCATTGAACATAGTTCCTCAAACTCTTTTCCCACTGCGGGTCACGCTCAACTTTCATAGCCCTCATCAAAGTGCGCTTGGATTCTTCCGTGGCTTTCTCCAGCAGATTCACCTTCTCCTGCTCTATCTTTGCAATCAGCTCCAAGGCCACTGCTTCGTTTACTTCAGGACACCCAGAGGTCATTCTCAGAACTTCTTCACGTCCATCTGGAGCCCTCAAAACACACTTCTTCTTTGTCCACACGAGCTCATATCCCAGCAAACTTATTAGGTTACCCACCGGGAGGATCGTCTGAGGCTTGCGTCCAGGCTTCTCGGGCTCCGTGAGCAGCGTGCCTGCCACGTTCTGTCGCATGGTGGTCACTCCGTCGCCCGCAATGACCACATCCACCTCAGGTGCTTCTGCCCATTCTTCTCGCTTGGCTTCCCTAAGGGGATGTGTGGCCCCGGAGTCCACTAAAGCCATTCTGTTTTCCATCCGCCTCACAGCCTTCTTCAGCATCTTCATCGAAGGACCAGCAGACTGACCTCCCTGCTTTTCCGCCATCATCTTAAGGATCTTTGTCGCGTTCTTCAGGAAATCATCCATATCCCCCACCGCCCCTTGCTCAACATTTGAAGCCGTAGCCGTAGATGACGAAGCCGGGTCACTTGTCGTAGTAGGTGACGCAGAATTACTCGCCGTCGAAGTTGTCCCAGCCTCTGGTGCCTGAACGGTTCCATCATCTCGCTTGTCGCTTGACCTGCTGGCCGGTAGGTTCACGTTCTTCACCCTCGGCTGCGCTCCTCCCTTTCCGTCATCTCCCTTGCGTCCAACTTCACCACCAGTTTTCAGTGGGCAGTTTCTTTTCATGTGGCCCTTGGCTCCACACCCCCTACATCTCTCCGACTTCTCCTCCTTCGGGATGCTTGCCCAGTCATGTAGAAATCTACATCCCGCTCGCTGGCAGCCGCTCTCTTGCAGAAAGAACTTACATGGCCTGGTAGTAGCGGACGTAGGTGAAGAACCCCCCTTTGGTGTAGTCGACGTAGATGTAGTCCCATCTCCAGTAGCATTGGCCGCCTTCACCGCCGGGGTGCCCGAGGTATTTCCCTTACCCCGTCCTCTGTAGGCCAGTTGTTCGCATTCGGCCAAGAGGTGGCCATGAAACTTGATGATTGCTGCCTTGGTCGGAGCCGCATCTAGATCCAGCGAAAACCTCATCAAGTTTGTACGGAAAGCTATCTCTGAGTTCCTGTCGAGGATCTGTCTGGTGGCTGCATCAAGTCCCTTTAGGAGTATCGAGGGATCTGGAGGCTGGAGTCCCAAGTCATCCGCACGCTTTAACCATCTGGACCATTTCCTCAAGATCTCCACAAGCTCAATGGCCGAGCTGCCTCCACCAGGACATTCGAGAGCTTTTAATACTTGTTGTCTCTCCGCCGAGCTCCCGGGTCGGTAGATTGTGATAATCCGACCAAGAATCGCCAAGGTAGTGCCCAGCCTATTCGCCAGCAGCTCCGCCTTGATGCTCTCCGGTACGGCCTGAAGTAACATCGACGCCGCCCTCTTATCCAACCTTGTCCACTTAGCCTCCTTTAAGGACGCCACCGCAAAGTCCTCGGCTCGAAGCTGTATTTTCTTCACGGTCGTCGCGGCCAGGAACTCCTTGTAGTAGGCCTCAAGACTGACCATCACATCACTCCACCATGTAGACGACCCATCAGTCAAGTCGCCCATCGGTCCTGCCAGCCCGTGCAGCCAGTCTCCCACGTTGATCGCCGCATACTCGTCCGCCTCCACAAGTTTCGGTAGCTCACTGCCCGACACCCCCGGCCGAATTGCTTCAGGCTTGTTCGCCTGCAACCCCATCTGCAGCGTCATCGCCTGCTGTAGCTGAGACATTCCATGAAGCAGAGCATCCAAAGGTGTACTCCCTCCGGTAGCCGCCTCTCTACTTCCCGTGCTCGGGTCTTGCGCTCCAAGGGGTGATGTAGCCCTCGGTTTCTGACCAATACCGAGAGGGTTCCAACTCGAAGGTCTCGTAGAGCTCGTGGAAGCCTGCTGCTCATCATTCCCAGAAACACTCGCGTGACCAGAGGTACTTGATGCATGCTGTTCTTGTAACGGACCAGAGGTACTTGATGCATGCTGCGCATAATAAAGACCCCCATGACGGCTGTGTCCCGATAGTCCTGCTGGATTGCTGCTGTGTACATTATCTTCTACTAATACTTCAGCAGCATCACCTCGAAAACTCACTCTCCCTCGTGGCTCATGATCACCTCCTAAAAGTCCCGCGGGATTGCCTTCAGGTAGCCGACCACTCTTGCCTCTTAGCCCTTCGACCTCTCTCTGTAGAACCTCCTTCATTGACGTTCCCACAGGGCCGAAACTTGCATCGCTCGCCTCCTGCTCGACCTTTATGCCTTGCCCGATCAGTCCAACAGAATTGCTCAAAGAACCTCCACGTAGCCAACCTCCATCACCAGGTTGCTGTCCGTCATGGCTCCCAAGTCCTGCTGGATTGCCTACAGGTACCTTAGCACGATCAAGAAGACCGGCGAGACCCCCATGATCACGGCTGTGTCCAGATAGTCCTGCTGCTGGATTGCTGTTGTGTAGAGAACCTTCCAAACCCGGAGGTGGTCCCCATTCGCCGTGACCCAAACCAACCGCTGCAGCCCTTTCTCCAGCATTGACATCACCCACGCCCGGCGTCCTTGAAGCCCGAACATGCTCCAGTTCTTGCCTTAGACGTAGGTTCTCGTCTGCTAGATCGCGCTGCCCCTTCATCGCCAGCTCCACCTGCTTCCTGACCTCCTGTTCCAACTGCTCTTTGGAGTAGGATCCCGAAGCCTCTGAACCAGCTCCCCCTGAAGTCCCAGACGTAGCCCCGTACAGCTGCGGTGCCTGTCCTTCAAGTTCCCGAAGTCGCCGAAGTTGCCGTCCAGAGAAAAGAGGATCCCTTTCCCGTTCGGCCGCCCTTGGACGACTGGGAGACCAAACCGTCTCCTCCATAGTTGCCGTGGCCTCACCACCAGGCCTGGTATGCGCAGTCATCTTGGTCTGCACGTACTCGCCTAGTCTGCTAAACCATCTCATAGCTGCCGCACTCTGTTGTGCAAAACTCGACCCCATTTGTACTCCATGTTCACTGCCATCCGGGGTCGCTATCGGTGAGGGAAACGGGGAAGGTGCCCACAAGCCCATAGTTGAAGATGCCCTCATTGGCGTAGTCAAAGTATTATCTCCAACTCTAGCATGCGGCAACAACAACCTGTCACCCTCACCTCGCTGTTCTGGTCCTCGACCATCACTCATTGCCCGCTCACTAGCTCTTACATCCCGTTGAACGCCAGAAGACTGCGTAGGCTCAGTCGAAGACTGCGCCACATCAGCATGTGCACCAGCTAAAACCCTCTCATACTCAGCTTCGTCTCCTGAAGACCGAACGCCACGTCCTGAGGGGCCAACGCCGTTCATCATCGCACTCGCGGTCCTGGATTCCTGTGCAGGAACGCCCATTGGGCCCATGACCTGTTGACGATCATCGGGCTGGCTAGCGGGGTCGCTAATCGAATTGGGATTACCGGAGGCCATGCCTCCTGCACGCTTGTTTTCTTGAGCCATGACAAACGTCGTTGCTTGTCGAAATCCTCAGTTCCTATACATGATCAATCACTGCAGACAGCAGACTGTTTCTTTACAGGTTTATGGGGTGGGGTTCGGTTTTGGGATCTACAAGGGGTTGAGGGAATGGGGTTTGAGGTTTGAAAAAGTTTGGCGTTTTGAGCTTAGGAGCAGTATCCCCTTTCGCGTCTAAACTTTATGATTGCTAGCCTAGTATACCGCCAAAGGCCAGAGAAGATTTGATCCATCTGCCGATGTTGGACGATGGCATGCAGTAGTTCTGAAGGGCCATAAGCTACTGTTTGGCAGGGTGTGGGGGTTGCCGGTAGGGTCAGGTTTTGTGTGTGTGTGTGTATCGTTTTTGTTCTGGGCGTAGGGCTTTCTTCGTTGAGGGTTTGGTGGCTAAGTCTGTAGTGCATGCAGGTTAAGCATTTTTGTCCAGGGTGTGGGGACTCTTTCCCACACCTAGGACCAACAGAATGGTGCTAGAAGTATGTATGAACAGCTTATTCCAAATTCTGCATTTTCAAGACTTGACGAACCTGTTTCCCATGGTCTCTGGATGAACAGCGCAACTAAAGCTTTGTTTTCTAGTATGGACAGTCTCATGGAACGAAACCCTAAACCCTAAATCCCGGCCGCCCTAGGCCCGCCGGACGGCTTAGGCCGAAGCCGAAAGTCCCAAGAGCTTCTCAGCTTAAACTTGCAAGGCCCCAATCCTCAAATCCCCAACTCCCTGAATATCCTACCCGAAACCCTAAACTCCTAAATCAAACCGCTCAAACCTAACACTAAGCTCTTAACTCCCGAAACCCGAAGCTTAACCGCCCGAAACGCCGCCTGCTCTTCTGCGAAGGTCGCAGGGTGCTGCAGTGGTACTTCGTGGAGGCACCCCCAGCCCATTTCAGGTGGATTTCGAGGCCTGTGGCTTGGCGGAGATTTGCTTTGAAGCCAACTCTCTGTCTCTGCACTACAAGAGAGTGTCATCGCAGAGTTGGTTATTCGAAGTCGAGAGCCCGAGCATTGAAGATGAGGATTCCAATACCCCAGCCCTTCCAGTAGAGGCATTTGTGAGTTTCCGAAAATAGGGGGCCCTAATATAGTACCCTACATAGTAGGATCCTTTTATCAGGCCCCCAAGTTAAGGTACCCCTAATTTTCGGAAACCCCCACTTGCTGGAGAGGCAGAACCCGAGAACCCCAAATCCTGCACCGCGCGCCGCCGCTGAAACGGTAAGACCGACCCTCCCGGTCCCGACCCAGAGATCCCAATATCCCTTAATTAAGGAATATACCTAGGGTTCCTTTAAGGGATCTATAAGGGATCTATAGGGTTTAGGGGAATCTAATATCCCTTAATTGAGGAATATACCTTAAATCATATTAGGGATCCTACTATAATTTAAGGTATATTCCTTAATTAAGGGGTATTGGGATCTCTGGGGACCCATGTGCCGTCCCACAAACGCGGATGGGAGCTGCTGCTTTGAGTCCGGAACTGCCGAGATAGAGGCGATACAGCACTTTCCAATCCCCGATACCACAGCGTTCCCACTTCGTGGATACCTATAGTCTCCATTGTAGTTCCTTTTGTTGGTTAACCAAAATCTCTATTATAGGGTCCTAACCATAAAACTGGTTAACCAAAAAAAAGGAACTACAATGGAGACTATAGGTAAGACAGGAGGGCACCGATCATGCGCCGGCGCTGCCCGCGGCTCAGGGAGCTTGTTGTTTCACTGGAACTACCACAAGACCAACTTCAAACCAGACTCTTAGAATGCCAAGCCACACCTCTGTAAGCCCCAACCCTAAACGCTGCAAAGGCCGACATATTCACACATCCCTTCCATCCCTAAACCCTACCGGGATCGCCGGGGAGCTCCAGAGCACAATCTGCACAAGGATCCCCCTTTAAAGGATCTATAGAGTTTCGGGCCTCTAAAGGGATAAGGGTTCCAGGTTCTTTTTATCAGTGGGTTGGACGTAGGACGTAGGGCCAAATCCCACAGAAGCGGTTTGAATAATTGGTCATTTCCCCCAAAACTTAAAACAACTATGAGGCTCCTCATCCCGCGCCTGACATGCTCCGCGCCAAGCTAAAAGCCGTCGAAGCCTCCGATATGCGCGCAGAGCTGTCCGTCACACTGCCACACATCCACTTCCTGGACTTTAGCGCTACTCCCAAACTTAAACTCCATACGGCCAAACTGGGTAGCTCCAGGACTTCAAGTCCTAACCCGAGACTCCAAAACCCCCAAAATTGAATCCCAAACCCTTCCTACCCGACTGCCAGGGTCCGCCACAACTTGCCTTCAAGCTGCGGTGCGGCCCCCAGGAGTTTGAAAGCAGCTTTCGGAGTCAAGGGCTCGGGGACGTTTGAGCCCCTCCGCAGATGCAGACTACTCCCGCAGAACCTAATCAAGCCTAAACCGTTACTTAATCGTTAATTAGGGACATAGAGCCATAAACCGCGGAGGACTTGAACTTGAACCTCCCGAAGCCGTAAACTCTAAAGTTCCCAAAATTACCTAAGTATCCCCAATATAGGTGCGTAGGACCCTGTGGGAGTAGAAGATGGGTTGCGCTGGGACGCTCAGGGTTGCTAGACTTGGGGTTGAATACCCCGCAACAACCCTACCGCACGCTCGATCTGCAAAGTATCTCCTGCATGAATATGGGTACATGGACTGGACCCGTAGAGACAGTAGTAAAGGAGTAGATGCCCCCTACAGTCCTCACCTGCAGCCCTTCTAGTATGTTAGGTTCGGGGTGTAGAAGGTGACGAGCTACATCTTAACAGGGCGGCAGCAAAGCGGCAGGCAAGGAGTTGTCCTAATCAGCGGCCAGATCCATGCGTTTAGTGGCAAGCCCGCAATCCTGTGACGTCGAAACATGCCTATAGTCTCCATTGTAGTTCCTTTTTTGGGGTTAACCAGTTTTATGGTTAGGACCTTACAATAGAGATTCTGGTTAACCAAAAAAGGAATTACAATGGAGACAAAACGTGAGCTTCGCGGAAGGAAGCTCAGCCAACCTCCCGCCTCAGTGGGTGGAGACCTTGAGCTATGCAGCGATATTGAAGAAGCTCTGAAAGCTCAGTACACTTCTTCCCCTAGGGATCTAAGGACTCATATATTAAGGCTTTTGGGCCCAAAGACCATACTATATAAGGCTTTTGGGCTATTTTGATCCCTAGGGTTCTTCTTCTCCATAGCGCTTTGCCATGCAATGCCGACGAGACAGAAGCCGCAGTCCGCACTCAGTGAGTCTGGTCGGACAAGATGGATTTCAAACATGTTGGCTTCCTTCGAGCCAGCACTTGGACTGTAACAGGGCAGGGAGACGGGACTAGGGATTTAGAGATGCGGGGTCAAGTAAAGAGTGTTTCTCGTCCGCAGCCAGCCTCGCGCACACTGAACTTCACAAGCTGTACCACTTGACTTTGGAGCTTCAGCAGAGTTTCAAGCAACTTGTCAATGTAGGCTCCATAGCGCCCAGCAAGTGCAGAGTTTTGACTAACTCATGTTTTACATTTGTTGGTTGCGCGGCTTTTGCAATGAAACATCAAGATACCTTTGCATGATGTACTCGAGCATATATGGTTGCATGTAGCTCACAGCGTGGTGCTTGGTGCCTTCCATTCGGAGGTGGGCAAGAACACACCAGACAGACCTTACCAAATAATCTACTACACGATGTGATTTCTAGAGTTATCCTGTATTCCAAGCTACAACATATTATATATGACATTCTATAACGCGTAAAGAACAATATAATAGTAACCATAACAGTGGCGGAGGGGCGCGACATGGACCGACTATTCATCGCGGGCGAGGAATGGCTCGGCTACGCGCGGCCGTCCCTGTCGAACTGGCGCAAGACGCTCGGAGCAGCCCAGAGTTTCGGGACGTTACCCGCTTAATTGTATAAAGTATATAAGTAATTGTTTGTATCGGTGGTACTAGAACTATAATGAACTATAGTAATTGCTCGTGGTGCTAGTTGTCACTGGGCATCGTTCCTGGACTGCGCCCGCAGATTCGCGCAAGAGCCCATCAGGGGTGTCATGACGCTTTTCATGACTATCCGCTGCGAAAGGGTGCGAAAGTGCCCGTTGTGTTGAGGCACTGCCGTTGTTTGGACACTTTCTTTTGCTGCCAATGTGGTTGGGACCACACCCACACTCCCAGTACCCAGCAAGCCGAATCAAGACCTAAAGGATTGAATCGGCTCAATTTCTCATGCGATCCATGTTCTGTCCTGACCGTCACCATCGCTCAGCGATTGAGTGCATGTTTGATAAATTCTCTCGTAGTCCCTGTATGTGTCTACTATAAGACTTCATAACCCTCTTCTAATATTAAGTACCACGGCCCTCCTGTGAAGCCCCAAACCAGCCGGACGTCCTAAACTTCAAAAGCCCAAACGGTGAAGAGTTTGGGGTTGGGGGAGTTACCACTACTACTACTACTACTACTACTACTACTACTACTACTACTACTACTACTACTACTACTACTACTACTACTACTACTACTGCTACTAACCAAGGATCGCCTATCTGTTGCGATACAGCCTGCCTCTGCTCTTCAATAACTACAAGACCGAAGCAGCTTGGTTCTGTACTGTTAGCGTTTAGGGATTAGGGTTTAGGGTGTAGGGTTTACGCAGGGTCGGGGCGCAATGCGGATTCACGGCACCCGTAACCCTTTGTAGATACAGCTTAACTTCTTACAAAGCAACCTTTGTTGCTCGTGGAGATCCTGGCCTTGTGCGATGTAATGTGGCTTGAGTCCGACCGAGACGCACCACTAAAAACGGTCGTGTTCTAGAACGAAGCATATACATGCGTATATACTTATTAATACTTTATTTCTTCGAGGTTGTCTCGCGCGAAACCCGAATCTCCAAACCCCAACACAAAATTCAAAACACCTGGAAGAAGCAGGAAATGAAACGCTCATATGAGCAGCGTTTTGTTTTAGCTATGTTGGAGTTTATATAAACCAGAATATCCGACATGATCCAACATCGTGCGCGTAGCCATTCTCCTTAAGGCGCGTAGATGCGCGTAGGCCTTGCGTAGGCCGACCTGTTGCGTAGGCTGCGTAGGCTATGTTTTGAAATGTGCTAAGATAGGAGCAAGAGGTTTGTTTGTGCCATGTTTGAGTCTTTCTCCTGTTGAGCAGACTGCAGTTAGTATTACAAATAATCGAAGTCGTGCCATGACTGCATCCCAGGGCACGTGGGCCCATGCAACACAAAAGAGTTCCAGTTTCTGTAAGTAGTTTTACTACAGGCCTCGAGGAGGTCCAAAATCGGATGTAGTGGGTTGCACTTCGCGTAGGCACGGCGTAGTCCTTGCGTAGGCTGCGCGTAGCCTTAGGAGTCGCTTTCTTAATAATTTATTATGTTGACCTCCTTACTTGGATTTCCGGGTCTAGACTTGCGGCTGCTGGATTGAGGTCTTTGCAGGGTGTTTCTTCGATTTTTTCACGCAGCCGGCTATATCTACACGAAAGCAGAACGTTTTGGAAGACAAATCCTCCTAGGCCTCCGTAGCGCGTAGGCTTGCGTAGGCCATCATAGCTCGAGATGTCTCTGCGTAGGTAGCTTTCCGCATGGTGGGCCTGGATAGCGCGTAGAGTGGCGTAGCCCAGCGTAGGCTCTATGTGGATAAGAACCGCCCATACGACAAAAAAACACAGCTCATATCAAATTTCAACAACACAAGACCCTAAGTCAAAAAGAGCACAAGGTACCAAAGGTCCTAAACAATAAGCCCTGAAACCCTAACCCCTCAAACCTGAAAAAACAAGGCAGACATGCTGCTCCCCTATCTGGCGTTGGGCGCACTTCGGAGGGAGCAGTGCCTTTCTGGAGGTCTTTAGAGGGGTCGAGGATTTCCATGAGTTATACATCCCCTAAGGGTCCATGTATCCAAATAGTCTATATATATATATATATATATGTATAGTCGGGCCCAATGTACCTATATATAGGGAGCACTTTAAGGCCAAAGTATATACTATTCGGGTACATGAACCCCTAGGGCAAGGCTTTAAGTAAGACAACTTGACTGGCGGCAGAAGGTAGCTGGGATACCGCTTTCCCTAGGTTTGGGACAGAATTCGTTTGGGAATTTAGTTTTCGATGCTCGGCTGAAGGTTTTGGGTTGGCTTTCGGTTTGCCAATAGATTCCGTGAAGTTCTGTGGTTTCTTCAAGGCCCCATGTGAGGCCGGCCTCTTGGTTTAGGGCCTTGAGTTTGCCGAAGGTATCCCGATGAAAATCTTCTACTGGCTGATCATGGCATCACCAACCACAGGCCAAGGATAATCATCGTCGATGTCGGTGCTTCGGTCGCGATTTGGCAGGTGTCCCTTTCGTGTTGCGTTTTGGATGTGCGGAAGAGTAAGATTATCAGCCGAACTCCTGTTCGTAGTGTTGAGTCGGCGCAGTCACTGTTGTAGTAGCAATCGAAGCAAGAGTTCGACGAGGAGTGAGAAGTAGTAATTCAGTAGTTGGATAGTAGCGGTGGTGGTAGCAAGCAGTCGACTTCGCCGTGCTGGTCGTCATGCTGATAGCAAATTGATTCAGAACAAAGCAAACTGCGTAGCAAATGCTGCAACATCATCAAGCACTAAGTTCCATAAGCTTCTTGGACCAGGGCACCAACACCCCCAAGCTATAAACACCCTAAGCGAATCCCGAAATCCTAAAACCTTAGAACCCTAAACCCCAACCTTAAACCCTGAACGCCTGAACCCTTAACCCCCTAGACCCTCAACCCCAAATCCTAAGCCCTGTATATACATACGTAAGTCTAAAACGTCAAATCCAGAACCAGCAGGCGCCCACACCGGCGAGTTCTCCCAGCAGGTTGTGGAGGTGTTTCGCAGCTTCGGCGTTCGCCGGCACGACGGCCGTGCAAATCCCGGCGAAGTGGGCCAGGACCGGGTTGCAGCAATGCTGAGGGATGCATCTGCATTGTTGTCTACCTATCTATCTATTTATTTGTAGGTGTTATTTGCGTAGCTGTCTTTTTGTGTGTCCTATGGATCTATCGATCTGACTATCCATCTAGCTATAAGTCCAACTCTTTGCTCATCGATCTACCTATCTGTCCATCTGTCTATCTGCACCTGTCTCCTGTGTATCTATCATCTGACTATATCTATCTGTCTATCTGGCTGTCTTTCTATCTGTCCGTCTATAGAACAATCTAGCTCTGTCTATCTCTGCTGCTCTAAACCCTAAACCCTAAAGTCAGGTGTCGGGGTCATCAACGTGCCCAGAGACTCCAATATCCTTTAATTAAGGAATATACCTTAAATCATATTAGGGATCCTACTATAACTTAAGGAATAATCCTTAATTAAGGGATATTGGAGTCTCTCTGTGTCTTCTTGTCCTTTTCAGGCTTGGAGTGAAACCTGTGGCACCAAAAGAGATGACGGTTTAGGGTTTGGGGTTTAGAGTTTAGGGTTTGGTTTAGCATTTAGGGTTTAGGGTTTGGGGTTTTGGTCAACTTAGGACAACTCGCACCGTGGAACCTTAATTTGCAAAAGGAGGGCCCCAATACCGCCCTGCAGAATGGGAAGTTCCGAACAAGTCGTTTCTTTTGGCAACTTCGGGGCCAGCCTAAAAAACCCTAGAGCCCTAAAAGCCTAGAAAACCCTATAAACCCAATCCCTAAACCCTAGGCCCTAAACCCTATACACCCAATCCCTAAATCCCTAAACCCTAATCCCTAAAACCTTAAAAGCCCCTAAAAAAACCCAAAAAGGCCTCCGTGCTCGCCATCGAGCCCAGCCCGACGGCCTACTCTCAGCTGATCCGAAACGCGCGCGAGCAAGGCTGGGGCGACAGCCTCTGCGCTCTGAACCTTGCGGTGGCCGGCCGAGGAAAGGGGGTAAGGGGACTAAGGTTCGATAAATGTAGATGTGCGCAGGGGCCGAGCCGAGGAAAAGGGTAAGGGGAGTAAGGTTGGATAAATGTAGGTGCGGTTAAGTAGGCTCGGATGTGTGGGTTAAGAGAGTCGTTCATTTCCATTTGTCCTACAGGTTCCAAGAACCCAACGTCGTCCACCCTTGGCTACCCCAAACCCCCGAAAACCCAATCGACCTTAGTTAATCAGCTGGAAAAAGGACACCCCAAACCCTAAACCCTAAACCCTAAACCCTACCCCCCCCCCGCATACACAAAAAAGATATTAGTTGGTCGTTTCCAGGCGGAGGCGAACTTAAGAGTCGACAGAATGAGTGTTACGGGTGATGATATAAATCCTGCATTACCTTAAGGTCCCTAAACTATGGGAATTATGGTATATTCCTTATTATGGGTAATGCAGGATTTATATCATCAACAGTATAGGGTTTGGGGTTTAGGTTTTTTTTGCGTGAGGACTTACCTTTTTAAGGACTTATATAAGGAAATCATATTTGGGAACACTGAAAAGGTAGGTTCAGGGTTAAGGTAGGGTTTAAATGAGTGAGGTGGCTTCTTTTCCTGCGGAGAGTGTCGCTCTGCAGTACGAGGGGAGCATGGTGGCGAGCCTCTGGAGGCCTGGGCATTGGAGCAAAAAAAAGCAGAGGTTCAGGATTTAGGGTTTAGGATTTAGGGTTTAGGGTTTAGGATTTAGGGTTTAGGGTCAGGGTTTAGGGTTTAGGGTTTAGGATTTAGGGTTTAGGGTTTAGGATTTAGGATTTAGGGTTTAGGGTCAGGGTGTAGGGTTTAGGGCTGTGGAGTGCAATACTTTAGTATTTTTTCTGGGGCCATGACTTAAGCTAAAGGAAACCATTATATATATATATGAAATAAAGTCGTCTATACGTTTTTCTCCCTGGTTATTTCAAAGTCCAGAGGCCGTCTCCCAATGTGCCGAAGCCAGCAACTTCGGCTGAAAAGTGCTTGGCATGTAGAGCTGAGCTATAATTGCCAAGCGTTCACCAAACCCTCAAAAGCCCTGTGTACAGCCCTCAATCCATGAAGTACGAAGCCTGAAGGAGCTAAGCACAAACATCTCCGGATTATCGTCTTCACACCGGTTTTGCTGGCTTCCCAAACCCTAAACCCTAAACCCTAAACCCTAAACCCTAAACCCTAAACCCCTAAACCCTAAACCCTAAACCCTAAACCCTAAACCCCTAAACCCCTAAACCCTAAACCCTAAACCCTATGGTGGAATTTGGAGTCTGAGGTCTCGGGGCTGCTGAATCGCAATGCGTGGGCGTTTCCGAAGATAGGGGACCCTAATATAGTACCCTAAATAGTAGGATCCTTATTATAAGGGCCCCAAATAAGGTAACCCTAACTTTCGGAAACTCCCATATCGTATGTCATGTTTTGCTCTGCTCGCTTGGAGTTATGGCTTAGCTTCAGATGTTGCTTCCGTCTGGCTTTAGGATTCGACCTAGAAAGAGAGGCGAAAGCCTTCTTTGGCTTTGGGTCGCGAAGGATTGGATTGCTTTTTGGCTTTGCCTTTTGACTCGAAGCAGAAGAATGCCAACCCGGCGGGGTGACAGAGAGAGCCACTTAGGAGAAGCTGACGACCGTGCAGCAGGAGACGTTGGACAGGCTGCTTTCTTCCGGAGTTTGTCACTACCACACCTCCGAGGAGATTTTTATCCTAAAGCTGGAGCTCTGGATGTCCGAGGGTTTAGAAGGATTGACTGGGGTTTACTAGGCTCTAGTAGGGCTAAGTAAGTTGGGGGTCTCAGCTAAGTAATCTAGACTGCTAGATAACACTGAGCACGACTCTCTGTTTGTAAAGTTGTCGGGGGCATGACATATACAGGCCGATGAAGGGAATGGACGTCATTAATCAGGGTGTCTGCACGATCGTTAGCCCTGCTATGGCCGTAAGTCCCTCTATTCAAGCTAGCCCTGGGGCTTGAGCAAATCCCTAGCCCTAGTTGCGTGATCGGTTCAGGCTCTAAGTGCCTCTGGCAATCTTTGTTGTGATACGGCCATGTCATCAGCAAGCTTGAACCCTAGACCCCTAAACCCTGAACCATGACAACGAGAGCCGAGAGCCAAGGACTGCGAAGGCTCCGACGGAGATGTGCTGAAAGGTGCTGAAACCCTCCTCAGAAATCGCTCCGTGAAATACCTGATTTTCGAGCAGACGAGCAGACGCGATGAGCCTGTCCTTGTTTCTTGGCTCAGCGGAGGAGGTGCAAAGCTGTGCCGGAACGCACGGTTGCTTCGTTCGTGCTTGTTTTCCCAAATCAAATCATAGTATATCAGAATTCGAATGTACATGAATGTGTATATATATATATATATATATACACACACATGCATATATGTAAATCGACGCATGCAGAAGATCGGCCGATACCGAAAATTCATAGGAGGCCCTTGAACCCTAAAGCCTTATACCCTCAAACGCATACCCATAGGCTCCATAGCAGTTCCTTTATAAAGGGTTTTTATTTAGAATCCTATAGGGTAATCCCAAAAAGGAACTACTATGGAGCCTATGGGTGGTCACTGTGCTTTAAAACAATGCATGACTCAGGTGGATCTGCAGGAGACGCTGGACAGCTTATGGAGTCGTGGCTATGGCTGCTTTCTCATCTCAGACCGGTTTCTGGTTCCTGTCAGCGGCGGCTGGTTCCACCCCCTGTATCGTTTGTCCTCCCAGGGTGGTTTCGTCATGAATGCAGATTTCTTTTGCGCAAAAATCCATGACGCAGATCTGCCGGCAGTGATAGAGGGCTTCGTCACTCGAAGTGGTATGCCTAAGGCCAAGGAGATTGTCAAAACAGCCTTGGAACAGTGGCGCCAAGCACAACCGGAATTACGACAGTCTGTGGCGGAGAAATACGACCTCGAAAGGTTGCCAAGAGGGCAGAACCTCGACAAATCCTTGCAGGCATTTTACTTTGCGGATCTGCTACGCAGCGGATATGGCGCGTGGCCAAACCACAAAGAAAAACTGACTGCCCTGAAGTACTTTAGGAGATCCATCATGGCTGTTCATGAAGCTGGACGGGATAGACGTCTTGCAAGACCCGGTGCCTATGAACTTGCCAACTGCTACTACTTCGGAGAGTGCGGCGGGAGGAGCCTAAATCAGGCTATTCGGTGGTATCGAAAGAGCCTGGCCTATCTCCCCAACGATGGCTATGCCATGAGCATGTTGATGATCAGCAACTTCGCATTTCTAGTACGTGCTCTGTGACAGTTGTTGGTTGCTGTTATGAACACATGTCTTCATCGTGCTTGTCGCGAGTGTTTCTTGACAGGTATCATCGAGTCCCACCTGAGTCATGTGAACTCCAGCAATTCCAGTGATCACCCGCGGCCTCAACCCCAAATTCGCCAGAGGGTGAACAGAAGTCGACGGCTGGATCAAAAAAGTCCACGGGGCTTTCCAGTTTGGGTGTCCGGGTCGTGTAAGACGCCAGCTTGGCACAATCACTCTACGCCAAGCCCTATAAGGCTTTCCCTCACACCTGAAACAGCTACTTGTCAACCCAACAGCCAAAAATCGTAAACCCTTTCAGCCAAAGTCCTTAGAAAGATTATGTTGTGGGTTTCAGCTCAAAAGTCGTGGGCTCAACACGTAGCAGACAAGATTCCAGCTCGTACCTTTTCAGCCGCGACCAATCAGTACCTGCAAAAACCCAAACCACGAAGCCCTCACTCCGAAACCTGAAGCTCTCCAGGCCGGAGTTTTCAACCTAAGCCCTAAATCCCTAAAACTTAGAAACCCTAAGCCCTAAAGCCCTAAAACTTAAAAAAATGAAAAGCCCTAAAACTTATACACCCCAAACCCTAACCCCTGAAACTTATAAACCCCCCTAAACCCCAAAACCGCCAAGGTTCAGACTGCTACCGCGATGTACAGGAACTCTGAGGAGGTTCTCTAGGGACTCTCTGCGTCAGAGACCAAAGTGTCTTGAACACAAGAGCAGGCGGCGGCGTAAAAGAGGGGTTTGTAGGGTTCCTTGAAGGGTCCGATTCGGGATCTATAGGAGTTTGGGGTGAAGTAGGAGACTTAGCAGCTGAGTAGCTCACCTCTAAGCTTTCTCGGGGCTTATGATCCTACCATCATTGAAAACGGCAACCTGTCTTGGGCTAGGGTACCCAGCCACTATACAGGGAACTCCAGAAAGTTGGAATATGGTTTCATGGTAGGATACCCTATCAGTTACCATAGAAGGGTTAGGATAATCATATTCCAACTTTCTGGCTTTTACCGTAAGTGTATAGGGTCGCCGGATAAAGGTTTCAGGGTTACCCTAAGGCTCAAAACAGCGCAAAAGCCTTACATAGTATGGTCTTTGGGCCCTTAAAGCCTTAAAGTATGAGTCCTTAGAGCCTAAGAGTTAGGGTTTTGGATTTGGGGTATGCTGCATTCCTGGTCGACTTCGATTTCTTTTTGGATCTTGGTGTTTGCTCTGTTTTTTTCAGGGGCAAGGAACCGTTCGCTATATTCCAGGAGCCATGCTTCACTTCGTCTGGCTATCCCTATCCAAATCTTTCCAAGTCCGAGACGTTGCAAGTCAGGCTCAACCCCATGTCCTAAAAACCCTAAACCCTGAAGCCTCAACCCTACCATACCCTACCATACCCTACCATACCCTACCCTAAACCCCAATCCCTGACACCTCAACCCTCTGAAGCCCGGAAGCCCCTCAACCCGGCAGCCCTAAAGCCCCTACCTTTTCCCTAATGCCCTAAGCAAAGCCTAACCCTAAGGCTCAAAACAGCCCAAAAGCCTTACATAGAATGGTCTGTGGGCCCTGAAAGCCTTAAAAAATGAGTCCTTGGAGCGTAAGGGTAAGTTTCCTGAAGGTCCACGCCCCGGAACCAATACTACTCCCTAGCAAGACTCTACGTACATATAATAGAGGCCTAGATAGTTACCAAAACTATTTTGAGAGCTACTTATTACAATTATAGTATAATGGGCTCCCCAAAAAACTCTATTCTAATTATTAAGACCCCTACATTATAGTATTGTACCCTTATAGATCCCTAGACTCCTAGACCCCTTTAAAGGACCCCTTATAAGGCCCCCAGATTACGTTATATGCAGCCTACGGCACTGAACCCAGGCGTCGGCTTTGTGTAGCCATCGGCTCGACAGGTCTCCGCCAAGCTCGGCTTGGCATAGGACGTGAAAGGCGTCAACTTATGAAATACAGACGCCTGCATAATATAGGGGCCCCAATAATACCCATACTATTTTGGGAATTATCGTATATTCTGGAATGTAGAAGCCTGCATAGACAGTTAATAAGCGCCAACCGTGTATATGATGATATTATTTTCTCAGGTGGGGCAATTAGGTATGTGGAGTTTAGGTGGTTTGGTTTTAAGTTTTGGGTTTCGACGGTCTAGGCTTTGAGCAGTCGAGACAAGCGTCTGATTCGGGTCAGTTTGAGTACACCTGAAACCCCAAAACCTTAGAACCGCAGCCGACCATGCGGGTGGCCAGCAATGAAGTGAAGTGATTCGGAAGCGTGAGTAGATAATAAATACAGTGCCGGGGATGGTGGAGAGATTTACTGTAGGTCCGATACTTCGTATCGACCAAAGCGAAGTTTGTTCACTGAGGCCGCGGTTAGTAAAGTGCTTTGGCCTCATGGCGTTTGCCGCAGGCGCTGCCACAAGATGTGTCTTAGACTCAGACGATGGTCCCACATGCAGGGATCGTAATATAGCGGCCTGAATAGTTATCAACACTATTCCTTCGCGTGCCTTATCATATGCATAGTACATGTATATTATATAAGATTAAACATGCCCCCCAAACTCTATATTCCAAGAACTAAGGCCCATGTATTAGAGGGCTTCATGCATTTTTCGAGTATCATCTGCCGTTAGCCCTGTTGTAATATGAAGGCCACTTTATTGTGGACCCGAAGACCCGAATCTCCTCTGCTTGGGCTTTAAACTCTAGCACGTTAGCGTGCTAAACCCTGAAGCACAAGACCCCAAACCGCATGAGCCCTATATAAAACCGCAGACCCCGATAAGCCTCCAAGGAAAATTCAAAGCCCTCACTTTCCCACTCCCTCTCAGGGTGTTGCTGCTGCGGCCGGACTTTCTGCTGTCGCTGCCGGTTGGGAGGCCAATCACTGCCGGGCTTTCTTGTGTACTGCGCAAGCTTTAAGAACTAAACGGACAGGCTTTGGAACCCTAAACTCTAAAGACTCTAAACGCTACAGTGTTACTCGGGCTCTTGTTTGTGTTGCTCAACTTTCGGAGCATCAGGGCCGTGATCTGGACTGCGACTTCGAAGCACGTCGCACCCACTTGTTGCAGGGTTTAGGCATTCGTCTAGATTCCCTGCGCTCGCACGCTTGTTTCGAACAGGAACAGTGCGTTTCTCTTGATCTACCTGAGTCTGTCTCCATCTTGAGCTTGCCAACTTCAGCATGCTGCACTAACCTTAGGGGTACTTAGAAATAGTTTTTAATTTTTGGTTATTCTAATCCCTAAGAAACAGCTAGAATTATAATTGTTGCTAGGGTTCTAAGTTCAGCATAGTAACTTACTCCCTGCAGAAGGCCAGCATGAAAACAGGGAACACACCAAAAGCCTTCAACCGTCCCTTAGACCTATTATAGACTGTTACTGTATGGGGGCCGTAGCCAACGTCCAGTAGCTATTGGCTCAGCCGGGTCATCCGATATCGCACTTTCTGTAATATAGGGGCCTTCGTCCTGGGAATAGGGTACGGGTATATTCTAATGCTTTCCATGATAAGGAGCTGATTATAAAGGCCCCTATATCATCTTGCCGCAAACTTGCTGGCGGCATCGTCATGAAGCCCTTCGCCGACTCTCAATGCTGGCTTGCCGTCACTGTCATTGGTGCTGTGTTCTCAGACTCTGTCACGTTAAGCATGGCGACGCGGGCTCCGGACAGCGCAAACGAAACCACGACGCTGGTGCAGCTCCATGCACAGCGCTCGCAGGGAGTTGCAGATGATCCGGTGGAAGGAGCCTGGGTTGTGCTTTGAGACATTTTTTTTGATTTCCCTTATTTCCTTATAAAGGGAACTTCCTTATAAAGGGGACCTATTCATAAATAATTTTCAAAGGGTTTAAAGCACAACCCAGGAGCAATCCAACGAGCCATCACAGCCTTCGCAGGCCGGCTGGATGACAGCGAGTGCAGGCTGAATGGGGATGTCTCATGGTTTGCAGACTTTTTACATGTCATGCGACAGAGTCATGTGGGGAAACCCTTAAACCCTAAACGATATAGGCGGGTGTGGCCGTGGGAGTAAGCTGGGCTGTCTGACTAGTTTGCATTGAGGTTTTGCGATGGGTTTACGAACTGCATGTGTGTGCATATATATCTATATATATATATATATGTATAAGAGTTCCCACTCAGGTTTTCGATGGTTTTACGAACTTCATGATCTTCCCCAAGCTTGGTCAGAAGCTGCGCCCCTCGCTGGATAGATTTGAGCGACGATGCGGCGAGGAGCTTCAAAGACATGCAGAGGATGTACCTGGACTTATAAGGCTTTAAGGTTTACCTTAACCCGGAATGACCTACCTTTTTAAGGCCTTATATAAGGAAATCATAATAAGGAGCCTTAAAAAGGTAGGTTATTCAGGGTTAAGGTAGGCTTTCGTGTTTTACAAGTTGTATAGTTGACCTGCACCCTAAAAGCTGCCCATATGATGCTAGTCCTGGAAGAAGTAGGTCAATTGGCGTCCTGCAGGTATTGGCTGCAGCAGATTCCTTTCAGGATCTGGCCAAGGCCAGTCAGAAGATCTTCTATCTGCATTCGTTTCTGGGCTATCCCCGAGATCCGATGCAAGCCAAACTTATGGAAGCTAGGATGCCCAGTAGTACCCTTATTCCTTTTTTGTAGTCCTAGGTTCCTTATAAAGTTACCCAATACCAAAAAGAGAGGCCTTTTTATTCTTAGGTTACTGGGTATCCTAGGAAGCCTGCCACAGAATCGCCGCTTCGCTGGATGAGGATGGCGAGGATTCTGATGTTGAAGGTGTCCTGTCCACGGTGTATAAGACCAGTTTGTTCCACAACTACGGCCACGGCTCGTATTTCAGCTGGTCGAGCGAAAATGCCAGCAAAGCCATCGAGGAGTTTGAAGATTTGGTGATCGGTTTCTTCGACAAGTCTGTTACTGGTCTCAACCTCACCGAGTGCTTGGGAAGTCATGGCTGGAAGGTTCCGAACATCTACGAGGACTTCATGGCCCTGCTCCGGACCAAAATCCGACCCTATCCGGACCCAGAGGAGATGGATACCAGGTTCCTGAGTAGTGCTCTTTTGCTTTTTTTTTTTTTTAAAAAAAAAATAGCGTCCCCTTATTAAAACCGAAGTGTAGGAAAAAGGGTACCTTGATTATAAAGGGGCTACCCAGAAGCCTAGGATACCAAAGTCTTATATCACACCATGTACTTTGTGGCCCCTAAACCCTAAACCCTCATAGCACCCGTACAGATCCCTTCAAAACAAATCGGAACCCCTTGTAATCCCTAGCCGAGGATACCAAAGTCTTATATCACACCATGTACTTTGTGGCCCCTAAACCCTAAACCCTCATAGCACCCGTACAGATCCCTTCAAAACAAATCGGAACCCCTTGTAATCCCTAGCCGAGGATACCAAAGTCTTATATCACACCATGTACTTCGTGACGCACCTGGTCTACTTCTTCACCGGATTCGGCCTGGAAACCCTGAAAGGGGCGGCGAGGTTGGAGATGGCTCCAGAACTGCGATTCTTGAAGGCCACGCGGTTTAGGAGTCCTAAACTCTATCTAGACCCCAGAAAGTATGTAGAGTAATTTCCTTTGTAAGTGTTGGGCTTTAGTTTGCCTACTTTGGGGGGGTTGAGGTAAACCCCGCCAAACCTTAT